TATGGGATTCTAGGGGTCCGCAGGTAACTGCGGGTAATGTTAGTCAAGTATATATATCCCGCGGATATTATTTCTTACAATAATCTTATTAAAATTTGAAAATGATTTTTATTATTTATTACTCTTAGATAAATAAAGCTATTAAATAGATAAATAATATAATTAAAATATATATAAAAATATATATATAATATAATTAATATAACTAAATCTAATATCTCTTATTTATAAAATTAATTATTAATTTATAAATCTTTATTATTACAGGAGTATTATCTTTTTTTTTAGTTATAGATATAATTCTTCTTTTTTAATCTAATTAAAGATTAGTCTATTTTATATAAGAATACTTTGAAAAGACCTGTATAAATAAATAAAATTATTATTTATATAATTAAAAAAGTTAGTAACCAAGTATAAGTATTTCTTATATATATATAATAAAAGATTAAGAGATAGATTAATAAATATAAGATATTTATATCTAGATACTGAAAGAATAATATAATTTAATTAGATTTAAAAAGTATTATTATTAATTAATTTAATAAGAAGATAGATTAAAAAAATTTAAAATATATTATTATAAAAATATTAAAATCAAGTTTATTTAACTAAATATTTCTACTAAAATTTATAATATATTTTATATAAATTTATTATAATTAAAAGTAATAGATAAATAGTTATTATAATAAATAAATAATTAATAATTTCTTATTATTTAAATTAAAAAAGAGAATAAATATTTAATAAAAATTATTTAAAATAAGATATAATAATACAAAGAGCGGGAATAAATATTATATTATTATATTAAATAGATTAAATATATTTAGACTACTTAAAAACTAATTAGAATTTTATAAGATATCTCTGCTATATATAATTAAAGGAATTTCTAAATAAATTTATAAAATAATCCTGCTTAATTTATTCAGGCCTATAATTAATATTACTATTATTTTTTTCTAAGTATAAAAAAAAGAAGAAAAAAAATTAAAACAAAAAGTTTTTTTATAATAGATTCCATAAAGATTTTTTGCAGATATTATTAAATAATAAAGAGAAAAATCAGATAAGACAGTATAGACAGTACTCAGCTAATTCTTAAAAAGATAATACTAATTTAATAAATAAATTAATAAATATCTAGACTTTAATTAAGAATAATAAGACTTTTAGTACTATTATTATTTTTATATATTTTTAATCTAAATTAGTTAACTATGTGATATTATATTAATTAATAAAGAGCTTATTTATTATTTATAAGAATTAGCTTATATATATAAATCACCTTTCTAAGTTTAATTATAAAAATATTAAAAGAATCTAATACTAACAGTAATATATATATATATTTTTTAATATTATATATTTTTTAGAAAAAGAGATAATTCAGATATTTATAGATAAAATCCTGTGATAGATTATATTTCTTAAGTATAATATAAAATTTATCTTATATAATAGATATAATAATTATTCCTATTAAATATATTTAATTTAAATAATTAATTAATTTTATTATTTTATCTTTCTGCTAATAATCAAGTTCTTTTAATTAAATATAAATTAAAGAATATCTTATAAAACTATTTAAAAAGATATATATATAATTATTATTAAAGTTTCTAAATATTAAATAAATATTAATTATAATAGACTGTTGAATTAGTTCTGATTAAAAAATACTTTTTAATTTAATTAAATATTTTTTAATAAAAAATATAAACTATTATAAGATTTTACTAGACTTTTAATTAATATTTAAATCTTATATTAATAAAAATCTAGCTGTAATTATTTTATTAGTCTTATATAAATATAATCTTATTTATTAATTATTAAATATAATAATTAATAATATTAATAATAATAATATAATATTTAATATAATCTTAGCTAAACTCTAAACTTAACTTAGCTAGAATATTTAATTTTATAATATTTTAATTAATTCTGATTTTTTAAAAATTATTTAAAGCTAGTATTATATTTTTTATTTTATTTATATAATTTAGCTTATAATTAATACTCTTTTATAAAAACTTTAAATTAAGATCTTAAATAATATTATTAAATAAATATAAAAAAATAATAATAAAAATCTTAAAGTCTTTTTTAATATTTTAAAAATTTTTGAAAAAATATATTCTAGAAGCTATTTATAAAAGATTAATATAAAATCTTTTTTTATAAAAAATTTCTAGAAATTTTTTATTAGCTAGTTTATTATATTAATTTTTAATTATAAATTCAGAAAATTATATAAGTTATAAATATAAATTTTTAATATTATAAAAAATTCTTATTTATTTAATAATTTAAATCTAACTTAATTTATTATTTTTTTTAAATTATAAAATCTGCTAAAATTTAATCTCTTTTATAATTTATTAAATACTTAATTTTTATTAAATAATTAAAAGTTTTATTTAGTACTGCAAGTATAATAATATTAATTATTTTTATTTTATTATAATTAAATAAAAATAAATAAAATATCTTCTTAAATTTTTATATTTTTTTTTATTTTCTATTTCTTTAAAAATAATAAGTCTATTATTTATAAAATCTATAATATTTATAATAATCTCTTTAATTATCTAAATTATTTAATTAACAAACTAAAAAAAATAGATATTTTTAAAAAAAAAGATTTTTAAAAACTTATATAATATATATTAAAAGCTCTAAAAATATTATTATTATATTTATTAAATAAAAGATTATATTTATATAATTATAATTATTTTAGATCTAATATTAAAGCTTAAGAAATTTAAAAAAAATATATAATTAAATAATAATATTAATTAATATTATAAATATTAAACTATCTTTAAAAAATATTCTTTTTTTATTATAATTAGAATCTAATAATTAATATATTATTAATAATTTTTAAATTATTATTAGATCTAGATAAAATCTTTTATAATATTTTTAAATATTAGAAACTCTTATCCGCAGCTAAGATATATAAAAAACTTAAGATATATTTAAATATTAAAAATATATAGTTTCTTAAGATATTTTTAATTAAATTAATATAATTTTAGATATTATAGAATATATTAATATTTTTATTTATTAAATATTTTATTATAATTAGTTTTCTATTCTTTATTTAATAGCTAGACATTTTCTCTTAATTATAATTAATAATATAAATATTAAATATTTTTTTAATAATTCTTAAGATATCTATTATTATTATTAGAGCTATCTTTATTTTAATATAATTAAAATAATTATATTTTAAATATATATTAATTACTTTATTATAAATAAAAAATATTAGAATATATTTAATAATCTTAATCTAGATTTAATTATTTTTATACTTAAAAAATAAGAGAAGAATAAGATAATTATTATTTTTTATATTAATAAAAATAAAAATATAAATAATCTTAAAAATAATTTAGAAAATAGATTATTATTAAAATTAAAAAAAATTAATCTTATTTAAGTCTTTAATTATTATATATATTTAAATAAAAATAAAGATCTGATCTTTATAATTTTTATATTATTATAATTATTATTTTAAATAATATAAAAAATAAATATTTTATATTTTTTTTTATTTTTTTTATACTAGATTTTATAAAAGTCTTTTTTAAAATATAATATATTTCTTAAAATAATTAATTAAGCAGATTAAATAATAGACTATATCTAAAAAATATTATTATATTTATATTATAATTAAATATATATTATACTTTATATATTATTTATATAAAAAGAATATATATATTATAAATCAATCTATAGTTATTAATCTATTTATTATATCTAATTTTTCTAATTAGCAGATATAAATAATTATAATAATAATTATATCTTAATCTAATATTAATTATATAACTAAAAATGTTTTATATCTTAATCTAACTGTCAGATTATGATCAGATTAAGATTAAGATATAACAGTCAGGTTAAGCCACTCTACCTGCTTTTAATTTAGTGGTCCAATTAATCAATCATTATTATCAAGAAATCCTACCAAAACCAAGCAAATCATGCAGTATTGCATCAATTATTTATTATTATATTACTAACTTATCTTATATTTTTTATAAGAATTTCAACTAATATCATTATAAGTTGAATCATATTAATATTAAGTCTATCTATGCCTGTGGCCATAATAAAAGCTTAATATATCTTATTTTTTATTAATATATTTAATAAATTTTTATTTATTATTTATAATAATTCTTTATATTTTTATTGGATATTAAGTAAATTTAGTTTATTTATAATCTTTCAAATCTGAAAAGTTTATAGAGCTTTTTTAGATTATAAAATTTTATTTCTAATTTTATATTTATTAAGCCTGCTACAAGATATATTTATATATAAATTTTTTATGTATATTATTTCTTTTATACTCTTCTTCTTTTTTTTTTAAATTTTATTCATAATCTGTGCTTGTGGTACTCTGATAATTATTAACTTTTTTAATTTTTAATTTTTTAAATTCTAATCTTTGATTCTGCTCTATAATTTAATAGATCTGTCTAAATTTTCTATATAGATTTTATATATTAGAAAACTATAGTAATTAAGTAGTAAATCTTAGTAATAATAATAATTAAAAATATCTTCTAAAGATATATTTTATATATATAATCTTTATAGTTTAGTGTCTTTCTATATCCTATGAAAGGTCTCTGGATCTTAGGCTTTGCCTGAGGTCCCCCGGATGTTAAACAATACAACAACAACAACAGCTCTGTAATCATTACCCGATTACTCCGTATTATACTCCCTATGGGGATGTGTGTTGAAAGGACGGTAGATGAAAGCTACCTAGTACACGGGGAAATTGCCCTAGCTGCCCCCAATCACTATTGTGCTTGCATAGAAGGTTGTGCCATCTAGAGCGAGTAACTGTAATACTCTACGAACAGAGTAAGTCATTAACTAATGATAAGATAGGTAGCTGCAGGCAACACTAGGCCACACATGTAGCTAATATTAACCTGTATAATGAAACCAGCAGGTAGTGACTAGTAAACAATAGACATGCCTGCCACGTATAAATTAACAATCCATGTAAATGTCAATGTCCATGCATTTTTAACATGTTATTTCTGTCTCTTACGACTTTCGTGGGCAATCATGTCGCTCAAGTCCTCCTGGAAATTCCAATTCGGATTGCCCTGCTGCTTTTGGGATTCATATATCCTTTTTATGTCCTCTCGGCCGATGCCATCATTTTCCTGCAAAGCATCTGGGTCAACAGATACGTCGATGTCTCCTGGCCTTTTGCGCTTTTTGTTATGTTCATCGGAGCCCAGCAGTGGCATACTATCCGAGGAGACACTGAGATCGTATACTTTGTCGGCCCCAAAGAAACCCTGCACTTGTGCTTGCCTCTCTGGAATAACCTGGAAGGCGCTTCGTTGTCCCACAAATTCCTCGGTTTGAGTTCCACGATAATGCTTGCGCACGTCAAACTCACCAGCAATATTCTCAGGTCCAGCTACCTCCGAAGGAACGGCCGAAGCTAAACCACTGGGGGTTTCTAAGCCACCTGGACTTTGCACGCCTGCTTCCATATCATCTTCCTCACCGCTATCAGATCCGCTATCCTCTTCATCCTCGCTTTCTTCTTCCGACAAATCAGGGGCCTGTAATTCCCCCCAAAGATCTTTTTCAACAGGTTCGCCTTGTTGCACGGCCTGCTGTGGCTGAAGCACACCAAAGATGTCACCTCCGTACAGAGGTCTGTTATGCTCATCAACTGGAGGCTTTCCGTAACCACCAGGATGATATCCCCACATTGCACCAGGAGGGGGAGGGGAATTCAACCCGGGAATCTTCAGCGCGGGGTATGAAGGAGGCGGCCCATATCGTTGTTGATTGATTAACCACGGAGGAGGAGCACCAGGAGGCATGTTAAGAGCCTCTTTCAGCTCAGAACTAAGCTCACCCGGTCGAAGGTGCCTAAGATTGGTCTCATACTCTTTACCCTCATAATAGACCTCTCCATACCGAGTAAGCTCGGGTTTGGTCTGAAATCGAAAGAATGCCTCGTACAATTTTTGGTAGTCGATATCCAACCTTCCCATCTTGGGTTGAACTCTCTCCCTCTGCTTCTGCTTCAAAGTCGACTGTTCCTGCTTCTCCAAAGCAGCATCGCGCATTTCTGAGATCCCTGTTTCTTGGATAAATTTCGGGAGCGCGAATGGCGGTTTCTCAATACCTCTTTTAGAAGATAAGTATTCACGTTTCAAGGACCAGTGTGAAGGTACAGGGACAACATTGCGATGTGCCTTTAAATGGACAAGAAGCCGAGGATCAGGCGCTGACGTATCTGTCCACTCAACTATTTCCGGTCTTCGAACCATTGCTTTCAGTTCAGCAACGGAGAGTTTACTCAATTCCTTCCGCTTGCGTTTTGATAGAGTAGGCTCTTTCTCGTCTTCATCCGGTATCTCGTCATCGTCATCGAAGTATATTACCGGTTTCACAGGCTCTTTTGGTAGGCGTTGGTCATCATCAACTTCGTCAAATTTTTCAATGATATCCTTATATGCCTGCCATAACGGGTCATCGGGGTGTGGAGGCAAAGTAGTCTGTGACTCCGAAGTGGCAGTCTTGAGAACGTCGGGCAATGGACTATCATCAAGTTGGGCTTTTGCACCTCGATCGTCAGAGATGGACTTGATCTCCTTATAACAGAGTATCATATCAGCATTCCATGGAGTCTCTCACAGTTTGCAACTTGCACGCGTTTTTTACCTGAGATTTTAGAGCTTTCTTCCTTGCCCTCCTGAGTTGATTTTTGCCCATTCTGTTGTGAAAGACCTCAGTCGACCGATTTTATTTGATTTTTTTTTTTCGCCCTTTCGAAAATACGATGCGGGTTTTAATGTCTGGTAATACCACGAGTTGAAAAAAAAATGGTGTTCCGGTTTGACAAGTGTTCTTTTTTGTGCAACATCAAGAAGTTTGGATCATAAGTTGGGCGAGGCTAATGGCTGTGTTGAGATCTAATCAATCATGTGACACCACAAGTACAAAACCAGCAAGCCAGTCTAAGAATTTCATTCCTACGTCACCCACTGTTTTCTCCATCATTATTTTCTCTCAATTCATTATTTACTTTGTGCCCACGTGAACTCATTGAAATGCTACTAAAAGTAATACTAAAGACAATCAATCAGCAGGTGCTCAATTTTGGGTTATCTGACCACCTTAAGACTGAAGTAACCCAGTCGAACACTTGGGGCTTATATCGTACAGACTCAAGATATAAAGTAATCCCAGGAAAAATATGTGCTCCAGAACTAATTTTGTTCAACACAGTAGACATTTGCGCAGATGCCCAGTTTCATGCATGTTGGCCAGGATGGAAATAAAGCGGATTTTCTAGGATGGGCATCAAATATTCAAGATTAAGCCAATCCATTACTTCATTTCTTTTTCGACGCTCGATGGTCTAAAAATTTAGATTAATTTGGTGTCCGTAAATTATTTCTATGAATTGACAAGTCTTACCTGGCGCTGTTCTCTTCTTTGCCGGTCTACCCTTTCCTCGCAGCTTCGCACTTTTCCTCCAGTATTAGTAAAAGTTGAATACACGATCTAGGACACATACATTTGAATTGACTCCTCACGATCGTCTTCGCATTCATCAAACATCGTCAAGCCTGAATGTTTATACTGTTCCTGGAGATCCCTGAAGGAGACGGTTTTCTTTGGATACCACGCTGCATGTGCTGGACCACGCAAACGTTGTCTTAGAATCTTATTCCCTAGTCGCTGCCTTTCGGGGTTGAAATTCAGCGAGAAAATTCGGCATTGGACCTGCCCACGATGCAATGAGTTATGGTTGCCCAGTAAATATGCGAATGAAATGGAACATAGACAGTTAATGTGCTTTGACCGTTTCATACCTTAAGCAAATCCAATAATCTACCAGTTGGTGCGGCCATCTCCAGTATGTATGCAGGGTGTTTATAGATATTGAGGTGGTGGCAATGTAGGAGTTTCTCGCCGCGGAAGTTACGGACCATATCACGTGATATACTCGGATACTATCTTTCAAAGTGTAGGTTACATACTGTGTTCTCCGTGCAGCTTGGATTCATACATGTAAAGTTATGGATTCCAAAAGAAAATCTGTGTTTTCGCTACCTCATAATAGAGGAACCAAGAAGGCAAAGGTAATGCATGGAATCCTGTATACCCTTGTAGATACTGACCCTAATGAGTTAAATGATTCAAAATGCACAGACGGCGTTTCATGTCCAGCCAAAGAACATCTCAACCTGTTAAGATCTCTGCTTGGGGATATCATAAACAACCATGAATCCTCAGTGTGTGGTGCCATCAATGTTAATCCAGAGATTTTGTTTGCCGCCACTGAGTTAGATGCGGCGTTACACCGTGCGAAAGGTCCGACACCCACGAGTTCCATAAAAGCAACAATATCAAAAGAGGTGCCAGCAACCAGTGAAATGCGCGAGTTGCCCAACATACCACCCATTATGAACAGCGAACTTGAGAGAGCTGTTTTTACGCACCCTGGAGTGAGTAGCAATATCAAGGCTACCTACGACCGGCTTGAGGTCCTTGGAGATGCGTACATAGAACTTATCTCTACGAAGCTCATTTGGGACAGATTCCAGGATATCTCGTCTGGCCAAATATCGCAGATTCGTGAACTTCTTGTAAAGAATGAAACCTTGTCTGAGTATGCGACCAGGTATAAATTGGACAGCAGAGCCTCGGTGCCTCCGGACTATTTGAACCAGCCAAAAAGATGGCTAAAGACTAAAGCGGACATCTTTGAAGCTTATGTAGCTGCAGTTATACAATCCAACCCAACTCATGGCTACAGTATAGCAGAGGCTTGGTTGACACAACTGTGGTCACCAAAACTCGAGCAACTTCGCAAACCAAAGTCTTCCTTGCACGCTAAGGAAACTCTTGCAAAGAGGATAATGGGCAAAGGCATCAAACTCAATTACATCGAGGAACATCCGCCTACTCAGAAGAAGGGGACACAGACTTTTTCTATAGGGGTGTATCTTACTGGCTGGGGTTGGGATCATAAGCATCTTGGGTCTGGACAGGGTTCGAACAAGGCAATTGCGGGTGACGAGGCGGCGCAGCAAGCATTGCTCAACGAGGAGTTGATTGAGGAGATTTTGAAAGCCAAGAGAGCATGTTTAGAAAGGGTATAAGTATGGGTATCCTCCGGCCAATATATCCATTCTGTATTGTTTATGGAAAAAGTGGGGGGAAATGCTAGCAACCCCTTGATAATCTTATGAAACAAGTGGTCCGAATGAATATAATGTCAGTGAAGTAGGCACTGGACGGATTGTGAGGTCAAAATATCTTTGTTGATTAAATAGGTAAGGTAAGGTATAGTTCATTAGAAAAGGTTTGCACAATCCCATTTTCGGGCCTAGTCGAATTGTTCTATCTACTCTATTATAATATACATGATCCAACCGACCTCTCCACTGTGCTTCGGCGCCCTTTGAACTACTCATGAACCTATGGGTACCATATTTATCTTTATTAATAAAATAGTTAAATATTAGATTTAAACATAAAATATTTATTAAGCTATAAGATAAAAATTTGTCTAAATATTAAAAAATATAAATTTAAATATATAATACATAAATATGTAGACTATATTACATAAATAAAAAAAGAATTCTATAAACTTAGAACAGATTTGAATAACTCAGAAATATTTTTTTCTAAATATAAATAAAGAATGTATATTTTTAAATTTTAAATTTTAATATTTCTCTAGAGATATACTAAATAAAAGAAGAAGTTCAAGATTCTTTAGATAAAGAGATTTATCATCTTTTTATATCTTCATCTTATATTAAACATTAATAATAAAATGGTATATAATTTAGACCTATCTATGGTTTTTATGATTAATGATCCTCTTTATCAGATTATTTTGGTATATGATATATAAAAATTATTTTTAATTTAAAATAATATAATATTCTCTTTTATTCAATTATTGTTGCCTGTTCTTCTGTTTCTGCTTGTTTCTCTTGTGTTACTGGCCTATCTTATTCACTGTATACCTGAAGACTATACTGGCCAGTTAGCCTGCTTTATACTTTGTTCATTGCCATTAAATATATTTTTATAAGAATTTAATCAAAATAAGCAATATTTGTATTATTATTTTAATAATAATTTATTTATATTTTAATATTAATCTAGGGAATAGAATCTTTTAAAATAAATAATAAGAAAAAATATTTTATTATATTCTATTATTAAGATCTTGATTAATTATACATAATAATAAATTACTTTTAATATAATTTTTAAATTAATAAAGTTATTATATTATAATATTACTAAGCTTAAATATTAAATGAATTTATTTTATAATATTATTATTAATATATTTTATTAGCTTTATTTTAATAAATATATTATTTAATAAATAATCTTTATTATAATTTTATATTTTACTTGTGCTTTATTAAAACATTATATTTACTTTATTAATTAATATCTTGATTAATTAATATTAAATAAATTTATTAAAAAGCTTTTTTAATTAATAATTGTATTATTAAGTTTTAATATTTTAACTAACTTGCTAAACAGTCTGTTTTTATTAATTATAATATATTAAATTATCTAATTAATTATTTAATATTAAGATTAAACTTAATAAAATCAAGCTTATTTTTCTTAAAATTTTTGTATTATCTAAAGATTTCTTATAGACTTTTAAAAAAAAAAGATTATATTTTAAATTATATATATATTATATATATTTATTATAGTAAGTTCTGATTATAATCTTTAAAAATCTGATTTTATTAATTAAATTAACTAGATTAATTAATATTAAAATATCTTAGTTAATATTATAAACATGGTTCTTCAAGCATATAGACTCCACTCCTAATATTATAATATTATTTCTTTCTAGCGATCTAGTCTAAAGCTTTTTATTAGCTTATTTTAATTTTATTATCAGCCTACTTTAATCTTATTATTAACATATTTTAATTTTATTACCAATTTATTTTAATCTTACTATTAGTTTACTTTTAGTTTACTATTAGTTTATTCTCAGATATTAAGACAGAACTTAGAGAAGTATAAATACTTGATTTTTCTTTTTATTTTTTCTTTATATTGTATCTTAATTAGTAAACTTATACTACTATTTATAAGAATAATAAGAATTTATTAACTATAAGTTTATTAATTTTTAGATATTTCTAATAGACTAATACTTTAAATTCTAATAAATATAAACAGATTAAAAAAATAATTTCTTTATTATTAATTAAGATTTCTTATCAAATAATTATCAACTCGATATATATAAAAAGCAAAAAAGAGATAAAAATATATAGCTAATATTATTAAGATCTATTTATTATAGAATACATCCCAGAGCTACCTGACTTAGCTAGCTTATCTTATTAAACTAATATCTGCTGAGAGTTATATATATATAAAATTATTAGATTTCTAAGAATTCTTCTTCAAATACTAGTTATTTTTTTTATATATACAGATTGAATTTTTTATAACTTATAGATTTTATTTCTAATATAAGAGATAATTATAAAAAAGAATATTATAGTTCAGTAATCAACTCTATATTAATTAATAATCTAAAAAAATATATCAAATGAGTATAATCTAATATAAATATAATATTTTATTAATCTAGTATATAGATTAGAGAAAGCAGAGCAGTAAATAATCAAATAATAAAATTATTATAAACTATAATAATAAAATAAATAACAGTAATCTAAAGAATAAATTATAATAAATTATAATAAATTATAAATATTTAAATAATAATAACAATTATTATTTTAATAAAAAAGATTTTTAAAATTCTTATAAAAATTTATTTAATTATATAATGAAGATCTTTCTATTTAGAAGTTAAAGTCTTTAATAAAAATAATAAATAAGATTTTCCTAATTTTAAGATATATATCTCTATTCTATTTTAAGTTTATAATAAATATAAATATATATTTTAAGAATAATACTAAGATAGTCTATATAATTATCTATTTAAAAAATAATATAATAAAAAAATATTATTTTAATATTAAAGTCTGAGTAGCAAGATCATTTATATTAATATTATTATTAAATTAAATAAAATCTATAAAAAAAATTGGAAAATAAAAATATTAAATAAACTATGTTTATATTATTAATATAATCAGAATTTTAAAGAATTTCTAGAAGACTTTAATATTATATTTATATAAATTAATAACAATATAATTATAATATAAAGAAGATTATTATAAAGAAAAAAGTCTAAAAATAAAACTATTGTTAATCTATATCAGCTACTGATTTATCTAATATTATAAACTAAATATATATTATTACAGCTAGAAAATATTAAAAATCAGTTTAATATAAAACAATATATAGATAAATCTCTTTTTTAATTAAAGTAAATAGTTATAAAACAATTTTAGAAAAGACAGAAAATAAATTTTTATTTTTATTATAAAAAAATAAAGATATCTAATCAGAGAATATAATCAATAATTTTTTATCAAATTAACTATATAAACCGTGCTTGTTATTTAAAGACATTAGTCTAAAAAAACTATAGATAATTATAAAAATTATTACAAAAATAAATAATCTCTATATAAAAGTATAAATAAAAATATTTGAATAAATTAATTAGTCTAAATTAAAAACCTTTTGAAAACTAATATATAAGTATTAGATTCTTGCTTTTAAAAACACTTATAAATTAAATAATTAATACTTAAGTAATAATAATTAATAAATAAGAAATATTTAATCTGTAAAATTATTAGTTAAAAGTTTGTACAGAAACAAGATCTAAAACTAATTATTATTATATTTATTTTAATAATTATAATTGATAAAAAGAATTAATTATTTTTTTTTATATAATTCAATATTAGATTATATACTAAGTCTAATATTTATATATATGTAATAAATTATCTGCTTGAATATAATAATATTTTAAATCTATTTTAATTAAAAAAATATAATAGAAACATTAAATTAAATTATTAAGAAAGACTGCTATTCTCTTTTTTAATTTTTAAAATACTAAATTAAAAAAATTAAATAATTTATTAAGCTAAATATCTCTGCTATATTTTATAAGATTGATATTAAAAAAAATTAAAAATAGATAATAGTCTCAAATAGTTTATTATTCTGTTTAATTTAATAGATATTTTGAGTATATTTTAAAAATATATTAATTAGATTCTAGATAAATATTTAAAGCAGTCTATTTCATTTATCTAAATAATATTCTTATTTTTTATTAGAAACTTAGTAATAATATTAGAATTATATTTATATCTAATAAATTCTAACTAAATATAAAAGGCAGAATTATATTTGAATATTAATAAATTTAAATTTAAATAGAAAAAGATTAAATATATAAAATTTATTATTAAGATCAGATAAAAAATAAGTATAAATTTTAATAAAATCTATATTATATAAGAGTAAAAAGTCTTTATTATTATTAGAAAGATATATAGATTTATTAAATTTACTAATTTGTATTATTAATTTATATTAAATATTTTAAGTTTACTTAAGTCTCTTTATTAGTTTATAAAAAAGAATATCTTATTTTAATAAATATAAAATATTAAAATAATTTTATTTATTTAAAAATATTTTTTTATATTAAATTAATACTTATTCTTTTTAATTTTAATTAAGAAAAAATATTAAAAATAGACTTATTTAATTATAATCTAGGAGAATATCTATCTTAATATAATAAAAATCCAAATCTATATTTATATATAAGTTTCTCTAAATAACTCTTTTTAATCAAGAATAATTATAAGATCTATAATAAAAAAATATTAATAATTATTTAATATATAAAAATCTAAGATATAGAACTATATTCAATTAAAAAATCTAAAGTTTTTCTACTCTCTATAAAAACTGTTTAAATAATATATTAAACAAAATCCTTTTTTAGTAAATTTAACCTTTTTTTATTTATTATAGAAATATTAAGATTTATTAAGCACATATACTCTTCTGATAAAATTAAAATAATTTAAATAATTAAAATCGATAAGTAATATTATAGATATTCTAACTATTTTAGTTAGAAAACTATAAAGAAATTATTATTATTAAATTCCTAAAAATAATACTAACTCTTATTAATACTATTAATTAATAAAAAAGCTAAGAATG